CTCGCACATCGCAACGGGCGGCGGCCCGGGAGCGCCAAGCCGTCTCGCCGCGCTCGGGGCCGCGTAGGAGCATTTCTTCACGTGCATTCGCCGCGGTCCTCAGGGCGAGGTGGAGAGTTTCTCCGAAGGGCTTAGGCGACCCGTCCTCCTCCTCCTCTTCCTCCCTCCTCCTCCTCCTCCCTGCTCCATCCTCCTCATCCTCCTCCTCCTCCGTCTCCTCCTCCCCCTCCCCCTCCTCCACCTCCTCCTCCTCGGGTGGCCTGCGGCCCCGGGGGAAACCGTACAGGGCGAGGACGGTCATGTGGTCCGGATTCGCTTCCGTCGGCACCTGGTGATCTCGGATGTACACTCAAAGTTCATAGTTAGGGCGCGCGGATGTCTTTAGGATACCATTGTGCCCTTGCCTCCGCGGGCCGTCCTTCGCGGTCTTCACTGGCAAGCCCTCTAGGGCGTTGGCGGTCCGCCGCCCAAACGGTGCCAATCTCGGCGTCCAAGGCCACTGCGACCTTCCCGCCCGTCCTTACCATCGATTGCAAAGGCCTTACGGCCAGTGCCGTCGACCCTGAAGGGAGACGACGACGACAACGACGACAACGTTGGCGGTGGCGGCAACGACGACGACGCGGACGTGAGCCAGAGTCCTCAGGGATAGTTCGTCTGTAGTCCACCAGCTCGCTCTTGGCCTTGTGGCCGATGGGTGACAAGATCCGCGTGCGCCTCCTCATACAGTGGAGACCCATGCCAAGAAACACCCTGCTTGCCGGCTGTGCCGAACTGGCAGACGCGGAGGCTCTCCCGACGACGAGACGCTTGTGCTGACAAGCGCTTCGCCTTCCTCCTTAGGGAACCGAGCAATGACATAAACATTACAAACACGAATGTGCGCGCGGATTTCTCGGAGCGACGTTGGACCCCCCTCCTTGGCGCGCGGGCCGCGCCAGGGGCGGCGCTGGAAACACCACCAGGGGGCCCAAGTGCCGATCCGAGAAATCCGCGCGGACCTCCGAGTTTTTATGGTCATGTTATGTCATTGTTTGGCCCCCTACTCCTGTGGGGTCCTCCTCCTCTGCTTGGCGCCCGGCCTCATCAGTCGATCAAGTGGCGCCTCTCGACCCAGCCGCGGGGCCTCCGGAGTGTTGAGGGCCCTGGCCAGGTGAGTCAAGATGTTCCCTCGGCAGGATTCGCAGCTGCTCCCGGACGCTGTGCCTCCCCGGGGTCGGGCCTCGGGGGCTCGCAGTGGGGCCTCGCAGTGGTGTCTCTCGGCGGGTCCGGCGGCTCCTGGAGAGGCTCATTCGTCAGTCCCTCGACCCAACGCAGCTCCTCGATGATGCCACACGTGTCGGCGCAGAGCGTCTCGCGCGCCCTCACGGGGAGCCAGTTCGGTTCCTCGCGATTCGGAGTTTTGAGGGCCCGAGCGTTGTTATCTAGTCGCTCCCAGACCTCCAAGCCCGTCACGTCGACCCCGTCGATCTCCTCGTCCTGGTCGTCTGGCATGTCCCAGTCCTCGTCGTCATCGTTGCTCGGGACTGGGTGTCCTCCCGCGTCTCGATGTGCCTCGGATCACCGAGGACTACCTCGGATCGACATCAGCGCCTCGTTGAGCTTGGAGCGGACCCAGAACACCGCGTCGTTCAGCATCTTCATGTTGCCGGTAGACTGCTTCCAGCCAGCCCATGGGAACACTTGCACAGCATAGTGACTACCTTCGGTCTCCCGCAGAGTCGTAGAGGGGATGCCGAGCAGCGGGGACGCGATAGAATCCGAGCCAACGTCGATCGCCGCGCTCATGGCCCTCCTTTTGGCCCTCAGTGCGTTCTTGCCGATCAGCAACTGTAGGACCGAGCCCTTGATCACCGAGAAGGTACGCGTCGACGCCGAAAATTGTGATGGGGACCGCCGGCTTCTCCGCCGATGCCTGCTTCTCACCGTTCCCGAAGCTAAAAAATGCATACGGCTCCTCCTTCCGGATACTCGTCTCGATGCCCAATTTCCTGCAATGGTCTTTTAATCGTTGCGCATACGATTCAGTTGTTCCGGTGCTGTTGCAGGCCAAGTCAAGCGTGCCCTTGTCACCCTTTCCGCCGATGGACACTGTTGACAGCAGAACCTCATTCACCTCAGGCGCCACAGGCACCTCCTTCTCCGCAGTCGTCTGCATAGTCACGAGGGCCTCGAACGTGGTGAGCTGTGCCGCCACCAGTGCGTCGTTGGCCTTGGGCGTGTTCAGGAGGTCCACCACCATCGCGTCCGTCGGCTTGGACCGGCCCTGCTGCTGCTTCTTCGCCTGCTCAGTTTTCCACTCCAGCTTCGGGCAGCATGGACCTGAGGCCCAGTACCCAGTCTGCTTTCAGGCGTAGCATTCCGTCGTCGTCTTACCATGGTCATTGCATTTCCCAGCGCGGCGCCGAAGTTCGTCGAACTTGGTACTTTTGGAACTCGCACCTTTGGAACCGCCCTTGCCACCGAACTTCCAGTCCTTCCGCAGCTCCTTCACGCGCTTCTTGCTCCCCTGCACGGTGATGAGCCCTTCCATTTTGGATTCGACGCTGCTCTCGAGGTTCCCGAGCTCCATGGCCAACTCTGGGGGTCGTGCTCGGCCTCCTCGAGTATCGTCTCGAGCGCCTCCATCTCGGACGCGAGGATGCCGTCGAGATCCACCTCCCCGGTGGCCGCCAGAGCCTCATCGGTTGGCACGTCGTCCTCTCCGTTGTCGTCGTTCGTCTCCAGCTCCAGCGCCAGGGCCTCCAGCTCACCGTCGCCGAGCTGGCTGACATCCTCGATGTGCTCCGTGACGTTCGTGCTTTTGAATTTTACCACGATCTCATCTTTGAGTAAGAGCTTTGACGGCGACGGCCTGCGTTTGTCAACCATCCAGTCGCGGTGCTCCGTGCTGTGCAGAGTGGGAAGCAGCTTGAGCATTGCCGGCACCGTATTGCCGCCCGGCGATGTCATCAGCATTCTTTTCTGCGCATCCGTGAGCCCCATCTTGTCGATCAGCCACCAGCCCGCCGTTCGCGGAGGGAGGGCCACGTCCTCGTCGAGCTGGCTCCGGGCTTCCCCGAACCGAGCCATCCAAGATATCATGTCCTCACTGGCTCGCCGGTGCAATGTCTTGTAGAAGTGCGTAATCATCTGGTCACGGCGCGTCGGCTCATCCACGCCCAATGGCCGTACTCCTCGCATTCGTCCTCTGCGTCGTCGTCACCGTCTTCGCGCCCTGCTCTGGCTGCGTCCTCCACCCACGTCCACGGCTTGGCGCGCAGCTCCTCCATTGGGATCGATTCGCCCAGCGTCTTCGCCGGTCCCGTCAAGCGCCTCACCATGCGTGCTGCCCAAGACCGGCTCACATCGAGGTTGATGCACTCGATCCACAGGGCCACGTCCTTCGGTGCCTTCTCATTGCGACGCACTGTCATCCAAGTTCTGGATGCCCTCGAGGTCTCGGCTCCACTGGTGACCCGGCCGCCACATAGGTCGTCGACGAGCGTGTCCACCACCCGCCGCCGTTGGAGCCGCTGTAGCGACCCTTCTTCTCGGGCTCCACAGCGGGACATGGCGGCGAGCGCGGCAGCACTGAGGGAGGATCAAAGCTATTTGTCGGATTCCACTGACGTAGAAACACATCGCCTCAAGCCGGCTCGTATCCGAAATGGCAGCGGGCGAGAACATTAGGCTACAGTGCAATGGTGGGAGGGACAGGGGACGAATCTGACGCCACAAGACCCATATGCACGAGCAAGAAGCGCGTTCCTTTCAACATTCTGCACATCGAATGTCGAGGGTCGCGGACTCCGTGCCCTTTGGCGTGAGATTCCGTACGTAGCCGTTTTGGCTCAAGTTTGGTTGTCGCCGCACATTTTACGCCCTGAGTTTTACCGGTGCCGGAGGCACCTCTTGCCCACAGCAAGTCGCACCACCATGCCGGAGCTGATGTCAATCGTGAAAACCCCGAAGGAGGCTTTCATGGGCATGGTCGACAAGGGCGTGTCGATGGGCGGCGACTCGTCCATCAAGATCTTCCACCAGTCCTTCTACGCGGGTTGCTACATTGGCTTCGGGGGCATGCTATCGATGGTGGTGGCTGGCGGGCTGGACAGCGCAGCCCAGGACAACCCGACCATTCAGACCTTTGTATTCGCTGCCCTCTTCCCTGTGAACCTGCTACTCATCCTCCTCTCAGGTGGGGTGCTGATCACAGGTACAGCCGCGACCGTGCCTGCCGCGGTGTTTGAAGGCAAGCTAAACCGGATGCAGATCCTGAGGACGTTTGCGCTGGCTTGGGTGGGCAATCTGCTTGGCGCCTTGCTCTTCGCTGGCTTTGTCACGGCCTGTAACATGAATGTGGGCCTGACTGCCAAGCTTGCTATCAAGGTGGCGGAGAAGAAGATCAAGGAGGACTTCCTGATCACCTTCCTCAAAGGAATCGGCTGCAACTGGCTGGTGTGCATGGCTGTGTTCCTGCAGGGCCAGGCGCAGGACATGGCTGGCAAGATGGTGGGCATCTGGTTCCCCATCTCTTGCTTCGTGGCCATCGGCTTCGAGCATATCCCAGCCAACATGTTCATGATCCCAATGGGGATGATGGCCGGCGCAGACGTGTCCGTGCTGGCCTGTCTCTGGAGGAATTTCATCCCGGTGACCCTCGGGAACATCTTCGCAGGGTCCATCATCGTGGGCGGTGGCTACTCTTTCGCCTTCGGCCGGCTGGGCAGCTCGCCGATCTTCAACATGTCCACGAAGGAGCAAGGCTCGCCGAAGGATCAGCAGGCCACGAGCGCTGCGCCCACGATTCCTCCTGAGGCTCAGGGCCCTTGAGTGCGAAGCTTCGCCGAGGCGCCTCAGCGTCGACCCCGAATTTCAGAATGAAACGGCAATGGTCACCCGCGACGCCGAATTTTTTAGATCGTGCGGCGTATGTGTTTGCAGTAGGTACTTGTATCGTGCACAGTGCATGACATGCGTCAGGGTTGATGAACAGCCTCGGCATCCAAAGCAATTCTTCAGATGCAACCTGTGCAATCTGCTTCCTTTCTCCTCTGCAGCGAAGTCTGCGGGCCAAATTTCACCAGGTCATGCTGCGCATCGCGGTCATCACCGACGATTGCCAGTGATGCTGCCGAACTCAGCCAGGCCATGGATGTTGAATTCAGCCAGGTGATGCAAGCGCTGCTGTCAGTCATGCGACCGACGTGTTCAACCAGGTCACGCTGCTGAATCCACTCGCACTGCCAGCCCGTGGGCCGCGTGCTCGAATTTGTGGTGCTTGTGCCTGGCCAGCCCAGATAGCACGACAAAATCATAGGATGGAGCGCCGAGCATCGAGGCGTTTGGATGTGTTTCCCTCCATTCTTGGAGGCTTCGGAGGCCTCCTTGGACCTCCGGGGACCTCCGATGAGGACATTCGTACCTCATCGCCGCTCTGCGCATCGAATGTCGAGGGTCGCGGACTCCGTTGCCCTTTGGCGTGCGATTCCGTAGCCGTTTTGGCTCAAGTCCGGTTGTCGTTGCACATTTTACGCCCTGAGTTTTACCGGTGCCGGAGGCGCCCCTTGCCCACAGCAAGTCGCACCACCATGCCGGAGCTGATGTCAATCGTGAAAACCCCGAAGGAGGCCTTCATGGGCATGGTCGACAAGGGCGTGTCGATGGGCGGCGACTCGTCCATCAAGATCTTCCACCAGTCCTTCTACGCGGGTTGCTACATTGGCTTCGGGGGCATGCTGTCGATGGTGGTGGCTGGCGGGCTGGACAGCGCAGCCCAGGACAACCCTACCATTCAGACCTTTGTATTCGCTGCCCTCTTCCCTGTGAACCTGCTACTCATCCTCCTCTCAGGTGGGGTGCTGATCACAGGTACAGCCGCGACCGTGCCTGCCGCGGTGTTTGAAGGCAAGCTAAACCGGATGCAGATCCTGAGGACGTTTGCGCTGGCTTGGGTGGGCAATCTGCTTGGCGCCTTGCTCTTCGCTGGCTTTGTCACGGCCTGTAACATGAATGTGGGCCTGACTGCCAAGCTTGCTATCAAGGTGGCGGAGAAGAAGATCAAGGAGGACTTCCTGATCACCTTCCTCAAAGGAATCGGCTGCAACTGGCTGGTGTGCATGGCTGTGTTCCTGCAGGGCCAGGCGCAGGACATGGCTGGCAAGATGGTGGGCATCTGGTTCCCCATCTCTTGCTTCGTGGCCATCGGCTTCGAGCATATCCCAGCCAACATGTTCATGATCCCAATGGGGATGATGGCCGGCGCAGACGTGTCCGTGCTGGACTGTCTCTGGAGGAATTTCATCCCGGTGACCCTCGGGAACATCTTCGCAGGGTCCATCATCGTGGGCGGTGGCTATTCTTTCGCCTTCGGCCGGCTGGGCAGCTCGCCGATCTTCAACATGTCCACGAAGGAGCAAGGCTCGCCGAAGGATCAGCAGGCCACGAGCGCTGCGCCCGCGATTCCTCCTGAGGCTCAGGGCCCTTGAGTGCGAAGCTTCGCCGAGGCGCCTCAGCGTCGACCCCGAATTTCAGAATGAAACGGCAATGGTCACCCGCGACGCCGAATTTTTTAGATCGTGCGGCGTATGTGTTCGCAGTAGGTACTTGCATCGTGCACAGTGCATGACATGCGTCAGGGTTGATAAAAGCCTCGGCATCCAAAGCAATTCTTCAGATGCAGCCTGTGCAATCTGCTTCCTTTCTCCTCTGCAGCGAAGTCTGCAGGCCAAATTTCACCAGGTCATGCTGCTCATCGCGGTCATCACCGACGATTGCCAGTGATGCTACCGAACTCAGCCGGGCCATGGATGTTGAATTCAGCCAGGTGATGCATGCGCTGCTGTCAGTCATGCGACCGACGTGTTCAACCAGGTCACGCTGCTGAATCCACTCGCACTGCCAGCCCGTGGGCCGCGTGCTCGAATTTGTGGTGCTTGTGCCTGGCCAGCCCAGATAGCACGACAAAATCATAGGATGGAGCGCCGAGCATCGAGGCGTTTGGATGTGTTTCCCTCCACTCTTGGAGGCTTCGGAGGCCTCCTTGGACCTCCGGGGACCTCCGATGAGGACATTCGTACCTCATCGCCGCTCTGCGCATCGAATGTCGAGGGTCGCGGACTCCGTTGCCCTTTGGCGTGCGATTCCGTAGCCGTTTTGGCTCAAGTCCTGTTGTCGCCGCACATTTTACGCCCTGAGTTTTGCCAGTGCCGGAGGCGCCCCTTGCCCACAGCAAGTCGCACCACCATGCCGGAGCTGATGTCAATCGTGAAAACCCCGAAGGAGGCATTCATGGGCATGGTCGACAAGGGCGTGTCGATGGGCGGCGACTCGTCCATTAAGATCTTCCACCAGTCCTTCTACGCGGGTTGCTACATTGGCTTCGGGGGCATGCTGTCGATGGTGGTGGCTGGCGGGCTGGACAGCGCAGCCCAGGACAACCCTACCATTCAGACCTTTGTATTCGCTGCCCTCTTCCCTGTGAACCTGCTACTCATCCTCCTCTCAGGTGGGGTGCTGATCACAGGTACAGCCGCGACCGTGCCTGCCGCGGTGTTTGAAGGCAAGCTAAACCGGATGCAGATCCTGAGGACGTTTGCGCTGGCTTGGGTGGGCAATCTGCTTGGCGCCTTGCTCTTCGCTGGCTTTGTCACGGCCTGTAACATGAATGTGGGCCTGACTGCCAAGCTTGCTATCAGGGTGGCGGAGAAGAAGATCAAGGAGGATTTCCTGATCACCTTCCTCAAAGGAATCGGCTGCAACTGGCTGGTGTGCATGGCTGTGTTCCTGCAGGGCCAGGCGCAGGACATGGCTGGCAAGATGGTGGGCATCTGGTTCCCCATCTCTTGCTTCGTGGCCATCGGCTTCGAGCATATCCCAGCCAACATGTTCATGATCCCCATGGGGATGATGGCCGGCGCAGACGTGTCCGTGCTGGACTGTCTCTGGAGGAATTTCATTCCGGTGACCCTCGGGAACATCTTCGCAGGGTCCATCATCGTGGGCGGTGGCTACTCTTTCGCCTTCGGCCGGCTGGGCAGCTCGCCGATCTTCAACATGTCCACGAAGGAGCAAGGCTCGCCGAAGGATCAGCAGGCCACGAGCGCTGCGCCCGCGATTCCTCCTGAGGCTCAGGGCCCTTGAGTGCGAAGCTTCGCCGAGGCGCCTCAGCGTCGACCCCGAATTTCAGAATGAAACGGCAATGGTCACCCGCGACGCCAAATTTTTTAGATCGTGCGGCGTATGTGTTTGCAGTAGGTACTTGTATCGTGCACAGTGCATGACATGCGTCAGGGTTGATGAACAGCCTCGGCATCCAAAGCAATTCTTCAGATGCAGCCTGTGCAATCTGCTTCCTTTCTCCTCTGCAGCGAAGTCTGCGGGCCAAATTTCACCAGGTCATGCTGATGCTGCTCATCGCGGTCATCACCGACGATTGCCAGTGATGCTGCCGAACTCAGCCAGGCCATGGATGTTGAATTCAGCCAGGTGATGCAAGCGCTGCTGTCAGTCATGCGACCGACGTGTTCAACCAGGTCACGCTGCTGAATCCACTCGCACTGCCAGCCCGTGGGCCGCGTGCTCGAATTTGTGGTGCTTGTGCCTGGCCAGCCCAGATAGCACGACAAAATCATAGGATGGAGCGCCGAGCATCGAGGCGTTTGGATGTGTTTCCCTCCACTCTTGGAGGCTTCGGAGGCCTCCTTGGACCTCCGGGGACCTCCGATGAGGACATTCGTACCTCATCGCCGCTCTGCGCATCGAATGTCGAGGGTCGCGGACTCCGTTGCCCTTTGGCGTGCGATTCCGTAGCCGTTTTGGCTCAAGTCCTGTTGTCGCCGCACATTTTACGCCCTGAGTTTTGCCAGTGCCGGAGGCGCCCCTTGCCCACAGCAAGTCGCACCACCATGCCGGAGCTGATGTCAATCGTGAAAACCCCGAAGGATGCTTTCATGGGCATGGTCGACAAGGGCGTGTCGATGGGCGGCGACTCGTCCATCAAGATCTTCCACCAGTCCTTCTACGCGGGTTGCTACATTGGCTTCGGGGGCATGCTGTCGATGGTGGTGGCTGGCGGGCTGGACAGCGCAGCCCAGGACAACCCTACCATTCAGACCTTTGTATTCGCTGCCCTCTTCCCTGTGAACCTGCTACTCATCCTCCTCTCAGGTGGGGTGCTGATCACAGGTACAGCCGCGACCGTGCCTGCCGCGGTGTTTGAAGGCAAGCTAAACCGGATGCAGATCCTGAGGACGTTTGCGCTGGCTTGGGTGGGCAATCTGCTTGGCGCCTTGCTCTTCGCTGGCTTTGTCACGGCCTGTAACATGAATGTGGGCCTGACTGCCAAGCTTGCTATCAGGGTGGCGGAGAAGAAGATCAAGGAGGATTTCCTGATCACCTTCCTCAAAGGAATCGGCTGCAACTGGCTGGTGTGCATGGCTGTGTTCCTGCAGGGCCAGGCGCAGGACATGGCTGGCAAGATGGTGGGCATCTGGTTCCCCATCTCTTGCTTCGTGGCCATCGGCTTCGAGCATATCCCAGCCAACATGTTCATGATCCCCATGGGGATGATGGCCGGCGCAGACGTGTCCGTGCTGGACTGTCTCTGGAGGAATTTCATCCGGTGACCCTCGGGAACATCTTCGCAGGGTCCATCATCGTGGGCGGTGGCTACTCTTTCGCCTTCGGCCGGCTGGGCAGCTCGCCGATCTTCAACATGTCCACGAAGGAGCAAGGCTCGCCGAAGGATCAGCAGGCCACGAGCGCTGCGCCCACGATTCCTCCTGAGGCTCAGGGCCCTTGAGTGCGAAGCTTCGCCGAGGCGCCTCAGCGTCGACCCCGAATTTCAGAATGAAACGGCAATGGTCACCCGCGACGCCGAATTTTTTAGATCGTGCGGCGTATGTGTTTGCAGTAGGTACTTGTATCGTGCACAGTGCATGACATGCGTCAGGGTAGATGAACAGCCTCGGCATCCAAAGCAATTCTTCAGATGCAGCCTGTGCAATCTGCTTCCTTTCTCCTCTGCAGCGAAGTCTGCAGGCCAAATTTCACCAGGTCATGCTGCTCATCGCGGTCATCACCGACGATTGCCAGTGATGCTACCGAACTCAGCCGGGCCATGGATGTTGAATTCAGCCAGGTGATGCATGCGCTGCTGTCAGTCATGCGACCGACGTGTTCAACCAGGTCACGCTGCTGAATCCACTCGCACTGCCAGCCCGTGGGCCGCGTGCTCGAATTTGTGGTGCTTGTGCCTGGCCAGCCCAGATAGCACGACAAAATCATAGGATGGAGCGCCGAGCATCGAGGCGTTTGGATGTGTGTCCCTCCACTCTTGGAGGCTTCGGAGGCCTCCTTGGACCTCCGGGGACCTCCGATGAGGACATTCGTACCTCATCGCCGCTCTGCGCATCGAATGTCGAGGGTCGCGGACTCCGTTGCCCTTTGGCGTGCGATTCCGTAGCCGTTTTGGCTCAAGTCCTGTTGTCGCCGCACATTTTACGCCCTGAGTTTTGCCAGTGCCGGAGGCGCCCCTTGCCCACAGCAAGTCGCACCACCATGCCGGAGCTGATGTCAATCGTGAAAACCCCGAAGGATGCTTTCATGGGCATGGTCGACAAGGGCGTGTCGATGGGCGGCGACTCGTCCATCAAGATCTTCCACCAGTCCTTCTACGCGGGTTGCTACATTGGCTTCGGGGGCATGCTGTCGATGGTGGTGGCTGGCGGGCTGGACAGCGCAGCCCAGGACAACCCTACCATTCAGACCTTTGTATTCGCTGCCCTCTTCCCTGTGAACCTGCTACTCATCCTCCTCTCAGGTGGGGTGCTGATCACAGGTACAGCCGCGACCGTGCCTGCCGCGGTGTTTGAAGGCAAGCTAAACCGGATGCAGATCCTGAGGACGTTTGCGCTGGCTTGGGTGGGCAATCTGCTTGGCGCCTTGCTCTTCGCTGGCTTTGTCACGGCCTGTAACATGAATGTGGGCCTGACTGCCAAGCTTGCTATCAGGTGGCGGAGAAGAAGATCAAGGAGGACTTCCTGATCACCTTCCTCAAAGGAATCGGCTGCAACTGGCTGGTGTGCATGGCTGTGTTCCTGCAGGGCCAGGCGCAGGACATGGCTGGCAAGATGGTGGGCATCTGGTTCCCCATCTCTTGCTTCGTGGCCATCGGCTTCGAGCATATCCCAGCCAACATGTTCATGATCCCCATGGGGATGATGGCCGGCGCAGACGTGTCCGTGCTGGACTGTCTCTGGAGGAATTTCATCCCGGTGACCCTCGGGAACATCTTCGCAGGGTCCATCATCGTGGGCGGTGGCTACTCTTTCGCCTTCGGCCGGCTGGGCAGCTCGCCGATCTTCAACATGTCCACGAAGGAGCAAGGCTCGCCGAAGGATCAGCAGGCCACGAGCGCTGCGCCCGCGATTCCTCCTGAGGCTCAGGGCCCTTGAGTGCGAAGCTTCGCCGAGGCGCCTCAGCGTCGACCCCGAATTTCAGAATGAAACGGCAATGGTCACCCGCGACGCCGAATTTTTTAGATCGTGCGGCGTATGTGTTTGCAGTAGGTACTTGCATCGTGCACAGTGCATGACATGCGTCAGGGTTGATGAACAGCCTCGGCATCCAAAGCAATTCTTCAGATGCAGCCTGTGCAATCTGCTTCCTTTCTCCTCTGCAGCGAAGTCTGCGGGCCAAATTTCACTAGGTCATGCTGCTCATTGCGGTCATCACCGACGATTGCCAGTGATGCTGCCGAACTCAGCCAGGCCATGGATGTTGAATTCAGCGAGGTGATGCAAGCGCTGCTGTCAGTCATGCGAACGACGTGTTCAACCAGGTCACGCTGCTGAATTCACTCGCACTGCCAGCGCGTTGGCCGCGTGCTCGAATTTGTGGTGCTTGTGCCTGGTCAGCCCAGATAGCACGACAAAATCATAGGATCGAGGGCCGAGCATCGAGGCGTTTGGATGTGTTTTGCTCCTCTGGACATGCGCAGCTCACCGCTAGATCTTTCCCCTGCGGTCATCCCCTTGTCGGCAGCGTTTCAATGTGGAAGATTTCCGCCATTTGGCACGTCGTTCCCCTCCCCTCGTTCAGTTGCCTCGTGCTTCCCCTCGTTCTCACCCTTCCGCATCACCGTCCTCCTCATCCCTTCCTTTCTTCTTTTCCACCGTCGTCCTTTTCTCAATGCCCCAGTCCCCTTCTCCTCTGTCCGCCCTCTCTCCTCCCCCCGTATCTCCCCTCTCTTCCCTCCCCTCACTCCCTGTCCCTCTTGTCCCTTCCCTCTCTCCTCCGGGGGTCCTCGGAGGTCTCCAGACGTCCCCAGAGCCCCCTTGAGGCATCCAAATGCCCCGAATAACCAGAACGGTTCAACGAGGGCCAAAGGCATGAACGTGAAAAGCATCGATCCTCGATTCCGTTACTTCTGTAGTTGAAGTTTCCCGAAGTTGTTCATGGAATTCCGTGGCCTCCGATGCTCTTGGTTCAGATGTGTGCAGGGGTGTTTCAGCACCTCAGTGGCTCTTGCAAGCGTCAAAGCAATGTGTGCCCCCCCCCTTTTTCGTTGTGCTGTGTTTTCCCCAGTTCCAGCGCTGTTGAATTTCCAGTTCTGGGGCAGGTGTTTTTTTTCTGGTCTTGGTTCACGTTGCAAAAAAGACGCCAAATAATGAGCGATCGGTATCGCAAAAAGCTCTTCACACCAAGGCTCCCAAGAGCGAACGGTGACGTAAACAAGCTGATAAGACCAAGGCTCCCAGCAGAGAGCGGTGATGTAACAAGTTCCTGACACCAAGGCCCAGGCAAAGCTCAGGAACAGGCGGCAACGCAACAATCTCTGAACACCAAGGCTCCCACGAGCGAGGTGTGACGTAACAAGCTCTCAACGCAAAGGCTCCCAGTACGCACGGTGGTGTGATTAATTTCGATGTTTGTTTCTGAAGCGCTCTTTCCGTTTCTGTGGCGGGCCAGGTTTAGTGGCCTTCGGCCCATCCCGCCACCGCGCGTAGTGGGTCAGAGTTCTCAGGGATGCTTCTTCGGGTCTCTTCGGGGGTCATCCGCATTATCTCATGGTGCCGTAGTGGTGTCTCTCCCTCTACCGCCCCCTTCCATAGCCTGGCTCCCCTGCCCTCCATGCCTCGTCGCGGCGCCTCCTTCCCCCCGCTCATCTGCGGGTCGATCTCCCCCGCTGGAGTGGGGGCGCGCTTCTTGCCCGAGTCGGAGCCCGAATCCGAGTCCATCCCCCCGCCCGCCGCCTGGGGTCCCCCCTCCCTGGGTTCCTGCGACATTCTATGCCTCCCAGATGGGGTCCGTGTAGATGGGGTTGGAGGATCGCGCCGCATCGCCAATGCATCGCCGATGCGGCTCGATGTGGATCCCGACTTTCTTCACGCCGGCGTCGCCGATGCACCACCGACGTCGCCGATGCGTCGACGATGTATCGCCGATGCATCGCCGAAGCGGCGCAATCCTCCGACCCCACCTACTCGGATCCCTATCTGGGAGGCCTCCCTGGGTTCCCGCGATATCCGTCCCACGCGGCAGGGGGCATGCGCAGATCCTGGCCTCGTTCCGTTCCCTCGCCCGGTTTTTCACCCCTTCTTGCTGCGGGCCGGACTGGTATCCGTGACCACTGCGTCTTGAAGTTCCGAGCTCACTTCCCCAGAAACCCGCGGCGCCGTGGATGTGGAGAACCCTCTGGCCCGTAGGGGCTGGACTCTCATGCATATCCACTGCGCCTCGGCCTTTTGGCGCCCCGTCCCAGAGGAGGAGGAGGAGGAGGTGGAGGAGGAGGAGGAGGAGGAGGCGGAGGAGGAGGAGGAGGAGGAGGAGGAGGAGGAGGAGGAGGAGGAAGAAGAGGGAGGAGGAGACCAAGGCGCAGTGGACATTGACACAAATATTGCCCGCACCCTGCGGGGCCGCAGCCGTGCGCAGGCCCGCAGGAGCATCGACGAGGCGGCCCGCCCCCGCCCGTCCCCCCCTCCCTCGAGCGGGCTTCTGGCGGGCGCCGGGAGCGCGCGTCCCGGTGTTGAGGGAGCGGCGGGGAGGGAGGAGCAGTGGGAGAGGGGGCATGATCAGGGGCAACGATTGGGGGGGATAGGCATAGGGAGGATCGACCCCGAATCGCCCATGGATCGCCGATAGGGGCCCGACAGCCCAAGCCTGCCCAGGAAGGTGCGGATTCACGATGGGAGGCCTATCGCCGATCTATCGGCGATGCATTTTTGATTACGTCCCTGCCCCCCCCCCAGGCCGCGCACATGCCGCCGGCCATGATTTGCCCCTCCCCCCCCCCTCTTGGACGCCTCCCTCTTTGCCGCCCCCGAGAGGGCAAAGGGTTGGCAGGGGTAGTAGGGGAGGAGGGGGCAGGGAGGGGGGAGGGGCGGGGCGAGAGCAGAGAGAGAGAGAGAGAGAGACAGAGAGAGGCGATATAGCAGGCTGGTGCTGATGCTGGGTGCTGGTGGTGCTGCTGCTGATGCTGGTGCTGTTGCTGTTGATGCTGATGATGACGATGAGGATGAGGATGATGATGGTGATGATGATGATCATGACGATGATGATGTTGATGCTTGTACTGTTGATGATGCTGATTGTGCGGATGATTCTACTAATGATGACGATGATGGTGCCATTGATGATGACGATGATGATAATACTGATGTTGATGACGATGGTGATGATGCTGAGGATGTTGATGAGGATGGCGATGCTGATGTTGATGATGATGCCGATGACGATGACGCTACTGATTCTGATGACGGTGACGGTGACGGTGATAGTGATGGTATGGTGATGGGGGGGGGGGGTGGCGGTGGCGGTGATGCCGATGCTGATGGTGATGGTGAGGGCGATGATGATGCTGCTGGTGATGCTGATCATGATGTTGATGATGCTGATGCCAATTATGGAGCTACTGATACTGATAATGATGATGCTGATTATGATGATGATGATTATGATGAATATGATGCTGTTGATGATGTTAATTATGATGCTGATGCTGATGCTGATGATGAACATGATCATGCTGATGATGATGATGCTGATGCTGATGATGATGATGATGATGATGATGATGATGATGATGATGATGATGATGATGATGATGATGATGATGATGATGATGATGATGATGATGATGATGATGATGGATGATGATGATGATGATGATGATGATGATGATGATGATGATGATGATGATGATGATGATGATGATGATGTGGTGGTGGTGTTGTCGTGGTGGTGGTGATGATGATGATGATGATGGTGATGATGATGATGATGATGATGATGATGATGATGATGATGATGTGACGATGATATGATGATGATGATGATGATGAGGATGATGATGATGGATATGATGATGATGATGATGACGAATGATGATGATGATGATGATGATGATGATGATGATGATGATGATGATGATGATGATGATGATGATGATGATGATGGATGATGATGAATGATGATGATGATGATGATGATGATGATGATGAGATGATGATGATGATGATGATGATGATGATGATGATGATGATGGATGATGATGATGATGATGATGATGATGATGATGATGATGATGATGATGATGATGATGATGATGATGATGATGATGATGATGATGGATGATGATGATGATGATGTATGATGATGATGATGATGATGATGATGATGATGATGATGGATGATGATGATGATGATGATGATGCTGATGATGATGATGATGATGATGATGATGATGATGATGATGATGATGATGATGATGATGATGATGATGATGATGATGATGATGATGATGATGATGATGATGATGATGATGATGATGATGATGATGATGATGATGATGATGATGATGATGATGATGATGATGATGATGATGATGATGCTGATGCTGCTGCTGCTGCTGCTGCTGCTGCTGATGATGATTATGGCGATGGTGGTGGTGGTGAATTTGGTGTATGTGATGGTGATGGTGATGATAAGGAGGATAATCATAACAAAGCACAGGACGCACCAGTGATGCTGACATACACACTCCCGTATTGAGCCCCCTCCTCACACATACCGGAATATCCGTTCCCCCCTCTGTATCATAATGGGATGTGTCGAGTTCTGTAAGGATGGTTTGGGGATGGTTTCGCGCGAGTTTGGCGTGAGTTTATGGTGGCCTCGGGAACTCGAGGCTGGCGTGATTTACGGAGTTTCGTGTCTTCGGGTCGCTAACCTGGCGAAATTAGACGGATCACTGCCTCGGGAGCGCGAATTTCCTGTTTTTTCTTCCCCCGGCGCCTCTTGAAATTCTAGACGCTTCGCGTATCCCCACCAGCCCGTCCAGAAACGACGCCCAGGCGAGTAGAGGGTCGTCCTGAGGGGCTTTTCGGCGTCTTGGGTGCCTCGGGGGGGCCTCTGTGGGCCGTTCGGGATCCTCTTTGGGGCCTCCTGGGGGCCT